TCGATGTAACATACGAGTCCGGAGCGATAGAAGGACATTTCAGGGAAACCTCGCCAATAAGCTTCTCGCGAACCCCAAAAGCCCATACAGGTTTATGTCTGTAAGAAAACCGACCAACCAGGGAGCATGCAATCTAGTGGGTTCTGATGGGAAATCTCTTACTAGTCTTGAAATGGCAGAGACATTCAGCCTAGCACTTCACAGGTAACTAAACAGTAACGAGGACATTACCCCCACAGAACATAAAGATTATCTTGCCAAACCAACGCGTGAAAACCTGCTGGCTATATTTCTGTTATGTACTCGTCGCTAAATTATTGCTATGTACTGGTCGAGAATTTAATAGTTCTGACTCAAGAAGGCGGAAATCAGAAGACCACTAGGTTTGCGATGATACTTCTATTTTCCAAACACAAGGAGAATGCAAGTAGTGGTATCACACCAAAGTGGTAAGTAAGTCACACAAATTGTGAGAGCAAAATACATATGAATGTTCAGACAAGGGTGTGAACAATCATTAGACAGTCTTAACATGAATGGCTAATTATAACGAAGTATCGATCCATATATACATAGCGAAATATAGCAGACATGTCAACAACCACCATATATGGACATATGTCACCAAGCAACGGACTGTCAACAAACACTCATATTATATATAAAAAATAAGTAAATTTATTCTCATGATGCAGTACATGAGGGGCGCCAGTTTACAGGCATCATCAAATTGTTACAGAAATAGGACCATATTATTCAGTCACATTTTACAGTCGATAGCAAAATATGTTTTACATGTACACTGGAGATTATATATACACTTGATAAATGTTGATCCCAATAGTATAAAACATCCTTTTCACTTATGTACAATCGTTTCTGTGCATAGTTGGAAAAATCCGCTAGATTGTCAGTGAGTGCAACACATCAGGAAATACAGAAGTATTGTCTTCGCATTAACAAAATAACCAAGTCTTTGGTGGATGGGTTATAAGTGCCTGGGAAAAAAATAAAGCTTGAAGTCATTTTTCATACATAATTTTGTTGTGTACAGAATTCTTGAATTATAGTTCATTGTTGTGTTATTTGGAAACCAGTGATTTGCTTATCTCATTTGATCTGCAATGTCATTGTTAGGAGCAAAATGATATAAGGGGAATATACATTGTTATAGGAGACAGGTTCATACAAGTGAAATGGTCACAGACTAAGCAAGCAAACAGAAAGAGAGATCACCATACACACACATAAATATATATATATGTGGATACATATCACCTCCCCTTTTGAGAAGATTGATGATTAGTAGGATGTTTTCCTGGGGGTTGATCTGGAACCTTTGAGCTTGTTGTTGACGTCTGTCGTTTCGTCTGACTGTTGGGTTTGCGGCTTCGGCTTCGTCCGGAATTGTCTGACATTTTATGCTTCTTGACCGCATTGCATAGCGAATTTAGTGGGACATCAGCCAGATGCAAACGATCGAACCAATCAAGTCCCAAAAGATTTAAATCACCCTTGGTGACGTAGCAAATTCCTGTGAATTTGGTATTGCGGAAGGAAACGGAACATTTGAGTTCGCCAATAAGTTTGAGCCGCCCACCACAGGCGCTGAGAAGAGTCTGGGAAGTATTTCCGATTGGTGGTCTGCCAATATTATTCCAAAGTTCCTCTGATATAACAATAATATCAGAGGCGGTATCTAGCTGCAGACGTGCATCATGACCATTCATCTGAAGGTCAATATATTTCCGCATACCTGGTGTTGTGACCTGACAGGTTGTGCGTAGACTCAATGATCTTTTTGGAGATTTAGGACCAACCGTTTGTCGAGCTTTCGCTGGATTTTGACATCTGGGTTTGCGTGGCTGACAAAAACCATTTTTATGACCGATGATTTTGCACTTGCTGCAACGATGATTTTTGTGCGGACAAGACTTTACAAAGTGCCACGCGCCACAATGCCAGCATGGTGATGGTGGGGTCTTCTTTGCAGCATTTTGTGAAGTTGGACGAGTATGTGTAGATTTCCGCGGAACATTAGAAGAAGGTGGGTCAGGAGTGGATGATGAGAGATTTTTGCTCTTTCGTAATGCATGAATATCAGAGCTTCTCAAAGGTGTTGATTCGACCAGGTGTGTATCTTTCTGCAAATTAATCAGACGTTGATATTCATCAGCTATGTCATGTAATGTTTACTTAGGATTTTGTTCTGGCTGATTGAGCAGTTGAGTTCGGATATCTGTGAAACGAGGAGATTGGAGACTGCATATGAGGATCAAGGCTTTGAATTGATCATCTGTTAAGGACCTGAGTCGAAATCTCTCACATTCTCGGTTGACTGTGCCAACATGAGTAAGAAAATCATCATTTTCATTCATTGCCAGCTTGAGGCAACGATAACGTATACTGAATAATGAGGAGTGGTCTCCAAAATGTTCACGTAGCAGCTTTATTGTATCATCGAAACACTTGTCACGTGGTTTCTGGGGTAAAATAAGGTTGCAGTACCGTTCATATTCTGCCGGACCCAATTTACGTAACAACACTCGCACCTTCCAAGCATCGTCTTGTCAGGCGAGATCAACAGTGAATAAGTCCTCATAACGTTGATACCATGTGTCAAAAGTGACATTCGCATCTGGATTATAATTGAACTGTGAAATACTATTCACAATGCCATCGACAGATGGTAGCATGGTATGGTTCGGATTGCTTGAAGGTGAAGCTGGACCAGTCTGTTGGTTGACGAACATTTCCATTAATTTCGTTTTTCGTTCGAATAGTGATTCTAATTTAGAATAATCCATAGTTTTCCCCGTCGCCAAATTGTTATGTTTCTGCTGCTGAGTGGTTAATAGTGGTTTTCCCCGTCGCCAAATTGTTATGTACTCGTCGCTAAATTATTGCTATGTACTGGTCGAGAATTTAATAGTTCTGACTCAAGAAGGCGGAAATCAGAAGACCACTAGGTTTGCGATGATACTTCTATTTTCCAAACACAAGGAGAATGCAAGTAGTGGTATCACACCAAAGTGGTAAGTAAGTCACACAAATTGTGAGAGCAAAATACATATGAATGTTCAGACAAGGGTGTGAACAATCATTAGACAGTCTTAACATGAATGGCTAATTATAACGAAGTATCGATCCATATATACATAGCGAAATATAGCAGACATGTCAACAACCACCATATATGGACATATGTCACCAAGCAACGGACTGTCAACAAACACTCATATTATATATAATATAAGGGGAGTTTACAGTGTTAAAGGAGACAGGTTCATACAAGTGAAATGGTCACAGACTAAGCGAGCAAACAGAAAGAGAGACCAACATACACACACATAAATATATATATGTGGATACATATCAATTTGTAATTACCCCTGCTATGGTACTTGTAAAATTGGGAAAGTTGGCTTTGGTAAAGTCTTCAGGTTGTGATGACATCAGACCATGCCTCCTGAAGCAGTGTTGAGAAAGTTTCTATCAACCCCTAAGTGATCTGTTCCACTACTATCTTGATGTAGGGAAACTTCGATGTGAATGGAAACGAGCAATCCTATCCCATATCTTCAAATGTGGTGACCAGCAGAATGCGACCAGTTACAGATCAGTTGCTCTACTTCCAGTGATATCGAAAACATTGGAAAGTCCAATTGACGAGCACATGAAAAAATACTTCAACGGAACTAACCTTCTTCACGAAGCACAGCACGGTTTCAGGAGGGGAAGATCCTGCGTGACGAATCTTCTACTAGCTTGGAACTATTGGACACTATCCTGGGACGAAAAGGTACCAGCCCACGTGATCTTTCTCGACTTTGAGAAAGCATTCGACACAGTTCACCATGGTCTGCAATAAACTCATCGGAAGACTCAGATAGATTGCAGGCTGACCTGCAAACTCTGGGAGACTGGGCTCTGACTAATGGAATCCCTTTCAACCTAAAGAGGTGCAAAGTAGTGCAGCTTCATTCCGGCAGGTCACAGAGTGTAAATTACACCCTTGGTGGCCAGAACTTGAGTTGTGTTCCATCAGAGCGAGATCTAGGTCTTATTCTAACAGAAAAGCTAGACACCAGTGGAAATTACGCGAGGGACGTCGCCAAAGCCTACGCAACTTTACACTTTATGCATAGGCAGCTGGGAGCTCTTACTCCCGAACTGTTCTTAAGGTCATATAAGACATATGTGAGGCCACACCTTGAGGTGCATAATGTCATTGCTCCTCCGCTACTCAAAAGGGATGCTAACATTCTAGAAAGTGTCCAGAGACGAGCGACAAAATGGGTGATCGGCCTCCGCAACAAATCATACGAGGAAAGACTAAAGAAATTAGGTCTTTTCACACTTAGTTACCGTAGGCACAGGGGAGACCTCATCACCGTCTACCAGATCTTAAATGACCAGGTCCACCAGAGACCAAAGACTCGAGTTCGATCACATTTCTTTTCGCTTCGAGTTTGCCGTCTCTGGAACGCTTTACCGGCGGCCGTGACTTCAACGCCATCTGTGGAGATTTTTAAGCGGAAGCTAGACAATCATGCAGAAATGCAAGGTTTGTGTCTCAGTGGCTTATCCTCATAAAAATTAAAACCACACTGTCAATGGATGAGCATATGAACCAAATCCCCACGACCTGTTTTGCCTTCTCTCACTGTACCGACTACTCTATCTTTTCCTTAGGTCACCTTTATTATTTCACTTATCTCAACCCATATTATCTACACTACAACCTATTATTATTACCATTATTATTCTGCTTTTATGACTACGCCGAATGAACAACGGGAGTTAGGTCAAACTCCATTCACGGCAGCAACACAGTCCTAACATACTGCATACTACAAACCACATCTTGACCAATCCCCGCACCACTTCTCTTGGAGTCTACCAGAGCTAAAGCAGTCGAGTGGCGGGACTTACTACGCAGAAGCTCACCGAAGATCTGGAACCTTTACCTCACAATCAAGAAGCAAGCTCAAAGAAATCATTGGTTTATACTAGCTCGTAATCAGGATATTGGATATTGAACGGTCTGAATATATTGAATAACCGACAGGCACAAATTTGGTTCTCTGCGCCACAGTGGAGTTGAGCTAAGAAGGTGAGATGTGATGTTGAGACATCACTCTTGCTGAATACTAAATCATTTGAGAACATAAGACAACGACACACTCTCTGTTTGCGAAGCTATTTAACTTGACTTCGTAACACATTAGTTAGTGGCTGGAAATACTATTTACTGACAACCTAATGAAATAAAAAAGAATAGAGAAGACGCCTCATGTTTTCCCCATTTATCCTGTTTTTCTGACGCATAGAAATATGAGTGTTCATCGTTGTAGGCTGAGAACAATGTTGTCTTCAGCCTACTGAGCCTCACTCACAATCCAACTCCACCTACTAATTCATTTGTTGACTTCAGTAGTCTGAAACTTAGGTGAACAAGTGCAAACAACCCACATCTTTAGAGTCAGTAGGGTGTGTTGAGAAAAGTGAGAGGCTTCAATAAAACTTAAAAACAGTAATCTGTGATTTCTGACAGCAAAGATAGTCTGAGTGCATATCATTGCCAGCTCACACCGTCTCTGGCTTAGTAGACGTGATATCCGGTTGGCTGTCGACCAAAGGGCAAGTGTACTGCTCTGCAGTCCACTCCTTTATGGCTGTGTGACCTAGTCATTGAGGGTAGAGGACATGAAAAGACTAGCTGTCTTTGGTCATAGGTGCCTGCGCTCTATCTCCCGTAAGAAGTGGTATAATAAGATGAGCAATATTGAGGTTAGGCGTCGAGTTCTAGGTAGGTGGAAGGAGAAATCAGTCGATGAGGCTATGAAATTACAACGACTGAGACGGTTAGGACATGTGTTACACATGACTAGACATCGCCTTCCTCTACAATGAGCGATGTTAGCTGACATAGTTTCAGGCTGCAAAGGAGCTAGCGGCGGTCAAACCAAAACATGGCTTCACCAGTCAAAGAAATTCACAACAGTTAGTTTAAGCCAGCCAACGACGTAGGAAGGTGTAAACTGGCTTCCTTGTTGGGGTCCTTGGGACGGTAAAAACCAATGGCGGCTGGAAACAATTGGTGATATGGCTCAAAGCGATCGTTCTCAATGGCTGGCTGTCACAGACGCACCCACTCCTTGTGACTTATGATTTCCAATGAAACTGTATTGTTCTTCGTTACTACTATTCCATTGTCTCACACCTCTGTTTACTCTCTCTCTCTCTCTATTATGCATTTCTTCTACTTTCTTCTGTTGCTTTGTGTGCTACATGGAGTGTGGCGACTTGAACTGGTGTACATCGGTGCAAAGTTCTATATCGAAAACAGACGGAATTAGCTTCTATTTTTAGAAATTTTAATTGCAGTCATTCACTGTTATGTTATATTGAAATTGTTATTTTCCTTTAACCAATCTGTCACAGTGATGTTGTAGTGTCTGCTTTTTATGTTGCGTACATTATAGTTTATTTTTTCTCATTCAGGATTATTACGGCGGCGAAGAAAAATTCGAAATTCTTTTAAAATGTCAACCACCAGTTCTGACGGTACGTTCTGGTCAATCTTTTATTGTATCATTTAACCAGATCGGAATGTATTCGTCTCACCGTTCTTAAACTTTGACCCATCGATATTGGTCTCGGTATGTCGTATTGATAGGTATATAAATCGAAGCATCTCATCTATATTTTCATAGAATCCTGAGGAACAGTTTATTTTCCCTGAAGGAGAAAAACGTCGAGGTCGATTTGAAAGGTCTTTTTCTGAAATCGGAGCTATGGTTATTGGAGGTAATTTATGTGTGGAATATTAAAAAAAAAACTTTGGTGTAGGCGCATCTGTTGGTGGCATTCGAGGTTTGTACAGTGGGTTGAAAGATGCCGAAATAAAGAGTCTGCCAACACTTGCTATCCGCCGGACACAAATGCTTAATCATATGACGAAATCCGGAGCAACTCTGGCACAGACTGCAGGTTCTATAGGACTTATCTATGCTTTGGCAGATTTCTTCATTCATAAATTACGCCATGGTGCAGATGATGAAATCAATACGATAGCTGCAGCTACAACTACGGGTTTAGTGTATACATCTCCGGGTAAGAGAGAATTTTTTTATAGCTTGTGTTTTTATTTATTTGTGTTCTAATATGGTGAATCTAATATGGTCAAACTGTTAATTTCAGCTTAAGATGTAAAAGACAGTTTAAAAAAGTCATCGATTCTCATGACAGTTGTAAGATTGACGACAATGACATAGGAATTAAATAAGAAATTAAGTATCTTGGACTTATTCTGTCTTCTCATCTCTCCTGGTCTTCCCATGTCTTAGCAATCTCCAGTAAAATATTCCGCCTGACATTTTACATTAAGAAGTTAAGGCACTCGGGTATAACTCAACCCCTCCTCTTGCAGTTCATAAACTCTTGCATCCTACCTATTCTTCTTTATTGTTCACCCCCGCTTATTATTTCCTGGTTTGCTTAAAAAAGACTGTCACAAATCGTAGAATGCTGAAGACTGTCAGTAGGGTGACCATATAGTTAATGTTGTTAACGATAAGCATTTGGCTTCGTGCAACAAATTTACTAAAGGGATTTTGTCTGACTTGGAGCATCCACCACAGCACCCTCAGCTTTCACCTTGCATCTCCTCAGGTAGAACAAGAAGTAACTTCAGAAAACTGTATGCTCGCACGTCTAAGTATAGAAATTCTATGATACCATACTTGGGACGTATTTTATGTGATCAAAATAGCGTCAGGCAAGAACTAACCTTTTTCATCTAGTAAATAAACAATATCCTCCATCCATCCTTATATACCTTCAAGTTTTTACTTTCATAATTGCAGACACCAACTTATCTCTATGACTGCTGTAATCTTTGTTTTTCCCCTCACTATATCATGTAAAGAGAACATTATATTCAAGATTTTTAAACATACTAGGATTTCTATACCGCATATACTGACAATACTGTGTGAAACAAGCCCATGGTAATTTTCACTTGTATTATTATTATTATTACCTTAGCTGTTATAATTATAATTATTATTATTTCCATTTTATATGCTGCATGTTTTTGACATTACCTCTACTGTAAATGTGGAAAATTTTCTGTGTGATTAATTTTATTTATAATTTGAGGAAATTAGATGCAATATTGTGATTAATGCTGAAAATTCCATTCTGTATCATTATTATTACTGTAATCCATTTGTATTTTGATGTATTATTTGTACTAGTATTATTTTTACGAGTTGATCACATATTGATGTCAATCAGTTAGAGAACCATTGAAAACCAGCCACAGGGAGTACTGGACAGCCAGCTGTTTCATCCGCCTAGTTTGGGAATCATCTGCAGTACGCACCCACTGGGATTCGCGCTAAATCATGAACTGATAGAAGTTAGAATTCATGCACTGGCCATCGAATCGGGTCCCAGTGGCTGAATGGCATACCAGCTTGCCTTGTAACCAGAAGGTCCACAGTTCAAACCCCTACAGGGTGGGTGCGTACTGCAGATGATTCCCAAACTAGGCGGATGGAACAGCTGTCTTGCGGTACTCCCTGTTGATTCGATAAACAAAGCTTCTGTCATCAATATCTCCCTCCCTCCACCCTGTGACATTACATTTTAAAACTGTCATCCTATCCAATTCATCCTATTGTATGGTTGTGCGTAATTGCATGTAGTGAGTGCTATGGCTGAACTATTCTCTAAATTTCTTATCTTATTCGGGTCAACCAATCTAGATTTTGCTGCTAGGTTTTTATGCTTGGCTAGTGTGATTGCCCCTGTTCTACTACTCTCACCTGTGTATTTGACCTGACAATCATCGCAGGCAGGGCATTAGATAAACTAAATTGTTTTGTTTTAAAGGCTCCACAGGACTGATCTGGCTTAGTAAAAGTGATATCCGGCTGGCTGCCTGTTGGCCAAAGGGCATGTTGACTCCTTAGCAGTTCGCTCCGTCCTCCTTTATGGCTGTGAGACCTGGCCATTGATAGTAGAGGACATTAAAAGACTAGCTGTCTTTGATCATAGGTGCCTGCGTTCTATCTCTCGTGTGTGTGAAGTGGTATAATAAGGTGAGCAGTAATGAGGTTAGGAGTTGGTCGAGTGCTAGGTAAGGTGGAGAGGAAATCAATAGACGAGGCTGTGAAGCAGTTACATCGACTGAGATGGTTAGGACATGAGTTGTGGATGCCTAGTCATCGCCTTCCTTGACAACGGGCGATGTTAGCTGACTGACATAGGATGGATCAGGTTGCAAAACAGTTACCTAGTGATGGTCAAACCAAAACATGGCTTCATCATCAGTCAATGAAATCCACAGCAGTTCGTTTAAGCCAGCCACGTAAGAAGGTGTAGGCTGTCTTCCTGATTGGAGTCTTCGGGACGGTAAACACCAACGAAGGCTGCGAACAATTGGTGCTATGGCTGGCTCAAAATTGTTCTCAGTGATGGTTGGCGCAGATGCATCCACTCCTTGTGACTTTTAATACCCAATAAAACTATATTGTTCTTAAATATTACTATCTCTGTTGTTTCATGTCTCTGTTTACTGTCTCTATTTTGCATTTCTTTTTACTTTTATCTTCTTATCTGGCTTTGTGTGCTGAGTGAAGTGTAGCGACGTGAACTGCCCCACATCGATGTAATGTGGTTCTATGTTGAAACCAGTTAGTCATTGTCGTCCTAGGGTAATGGTCTAGACGAGTGTAATTTAAATTCGAAATAATACTTTACATCGATATTACACATCAAAAGGCGCTTAAATTTATACAAAAATTCATAAATGAATCCACCTTTTTTAAATAAAACTTTAGGTATGTTTAAACCAAATGGATGGAAACGTTGTGCTCTAGGAGGAACTGCTGGATTAGCTGTTGGCGCAGTTGCTGTGGCTTTTACAAGCTGGTCAAGGATTAAACATATGCTTGGTGGATAAACAAATAAACACCTTACTTGCGATGCGATTCTAATCAATATGTACACTACGCCCCATTATTATTATTATTTAGTATATAAATACATTTTTATTTCACGAAAAATACCCATTTATTCATAAGCAAAAACAGTTTTTTTTGGTTCAGCGAAGAAATTTCTTTTCAACGACTTCATTTTCAAGCCAACTGTTAAAGTCGTATTTATATATTACAGAAAAAAGGTCATTAAGTGGCAATAAATAATTGCTCAGTCAATATACACATATATACAAGTGATAAGAATAACGATAATTAAAATGTTATAAGAGGTAGACTTTGTTACGAAGGTGACTGAGCCGTAGAACGATGAGTGATGCTTGAATCTTGAAAAGACGAATGAACCAAGAATTTAGGCTTTATTCATTTTACAATGAAGCCGGAATGGCTTAAACATATAAAGGAAAAAAAGAGTGTTAATAGCGGTAGAGATATGAATATGATAGATACGTATTATAAGAAAAGTTCACAACATTCACTGCGGCTTGAAAAGGAATGAGCCATTATGTCACGCTTCTCTGGTACGCAAATTGTAAGGCCGTACACGTTGTTGTTTTTCCAAAAGAATACGCCCGTTGTTCGTTTCAGTTGTATTTTCTTCACGAAGAATATTAGGATCAGTGGTCGCATCCCCATTTACTTGTTGCTCAGGAATTGCGTCGCCCTCCGGTATTGAATTTTCAACTTGATCTATATCTTCGCCTTTGGGTGCCAGATGATGAAGAGCAACTGTATCTTCACGTCCATTACCGAAGCGAACGTGAGCGAATTGCGGGTTACAATTCAATAGCTCCACCTCTTCAACCAGGGGATCGAATTTGGACTGACGAACACTCCGCCGGAGAAGTACTGGTCCTGGTACAGTGAGCCAAGTAGGAAGAGTTGTCCCAGATGTCGATCTTCGGTTATAGGTAAACAGTCGTTCGTGTGGCGTGGCGTTCGTTGCAGTACAGAGCAAAGATCTGATGGAATGCAAGGCGTCGAGTAGAACAGACTCCCATTGTGCCGTTGGTAGGCCCCGTGATCTTAATGCTAGAGTGATGGCACGCCAAAGTGTTCCATTGAGGCGCTCGACCTGCCCATTGGCTTGAGGATTGTATGAGGTAGTACGACTGGTTGCTACGCCTTTCTCCAGAAGAAATGCCCGTAATTCGGTAGACATGAAAGCAGCGCCTCTGTCGGTATGTATGTAAGAAGGCATACCGAAAATCGAAAACAGTTGGCAAAGGCAATTCATTACCGTTTGAGACGACATGTCGGGGCAGGCGAATGCAAAGGGGAATCGAGAATATTCATCGATCAGCGTGAGCAGATAGTGATTGCGGCTAGCTGACGGTAGAGGTCCTTTAAAGTCGATGCTTAACCTTTCAAAAGGTTGGGTTGCTTTTATGAGTTTGAAATTAGAGGGATTGTAAAATTGAGGCTTTAACTCACAGCATGTCACGCATTTACTGGTTACATTGCGCACCTCGTCAAGGGAGAATGGAAGGTTTCTCGAGCGTACAAAATGCATCATTCGGACAACTCCAGGATGGCACATAGAGTCATGGAGAAATTTCAAGTCGCACACTGACTGCAAGGAACCGCAGAAACTACGGGAAAATGTATCAGCAGCTTGATTATCCCTTCCAGGACGATAAATGATGTCATATTGATAAGGGGATAGCTCAATTCTCCAACGCATTATTTTATCGTTCTTGATTTTGCCTTTATGAATCTTGTCAAACATGAATGCTACTGAACGTTGATCAGTGACAAGTTTGAAGTGATTTCCGAGAAGGTAATGCTTCCACTTACGAATTGCTTCAACCACGGCATAGGCTTCTTTCTCAACCGATGAATGATGTTTCTCACTTCGAGAGAGGCTTCGAGAAAAGAAGGCGACAGGTTTACCATTCTGGTTTAATGTAGCTGCAATTGAGACATCTGAAGCATCTGTTTCAACAACAAGGGGTGCTTTCGGATCAACTACCACAACGACTGCACGTTCTAAGTCGTCTTTCAGTTTGTCAAAAGCATTTCGAGTTTCGATATCAAGAGGGAAAATCCGATTATTTACCAATGGGTGGATTTTATCTGAGAAGCGAGGGATCCACTGTGAATAATAAG